TACAAAAGATGTCTGTGAAGGTGCGTGTTTGTTTGATGCATGAGCAGCACACCATCCATTTTTCAGCCATCAGCATGAAGGTCTGCTGCAAAGCGTCATGGGGTTTATGAGCAGTAAGTCCACACGAAGAGGCTGATATAAACTCCTCAGAAAAACACTGAAGGAAAAGCTCAATCTCTTGGCTCAGCTGGGATGCATCTACACTCGTCTGGTTAATTCATTCCTGTTGGGTTTTCCTGAAATCAGAGGTAAACACATGACAGCTGGACTTGTGCGTAGGCATACTGATGTTTGTGCAAAAGAATGAGGGAGGGGTAAAATTCTGTCTGTTCTGCTGCATAGACTCCTCCTCCAAAGCACATCACAGAGAGATGCTGAGTGACATGCTCCCGTCCAATCGTGTCACTGGTCAGGGAGTTGTGGCCAATGAGAGAGCGGCTCAGCATCACAGTGAGCAGCAACCCCCCACTCCAGCCTCATACTGATACAGCTACAAGAGCGGTTGCTTGGTAACCGCATCTGTCTGTGAGAGTCGAGGAGGAAACATGAGGCATTGGCATGAGGATGTGAGAAATCTGTTCTGTAAGACAGACAGAATGGACTTAAAATAACGGCTTTCAGGGTTCCTTTTGTTTGACAGATTTGACCAAAACCAACTTAAATGGAAGAAATACATTGAATTTCTTAATAATAATACTGTCACATTTAATGTGCATTGATGATGAAGATAGGTGAAGTTTCAAATTAGTAGCATAGTTTATTAAACAAAGCACACTCAGGTAATCCAATAAGATAAAACACAAGTGAAACAGCACGCTATGCACAACCAATACCGGACACTGAACTGAAGAAACTGAGGGAATAAATACACAGTGATAAAGAGGGACAGGTGAGATTCTAATCGATTAAACAATGAGACAATGAACAACTATGGCAACCAAGGAAACAGAAACTAAACACACTGGAACTACCCTGTTGAAAAAAACAGCATATGCTGGTTAGGTATGTTTTGAAGCATTGAGCTGGTCTCCTGCTCAGGACCAGCTTAGTACCCGCACATGACCAGCTTAAACCAGCTCATGACCAGCAGCCATGCTTCAAAACATACCTAACCAGCATATGCCGTTTTTTTTTCAATATGGTGAACACAGGCAAAACAGGACAAAAGAATATCAAAATGATGGTCCATGAACACAAACACTGAGAATTTGTGACATAAATGACAGTTCTGGAGGTTGGTGGAGCAGAGGCAGACCGGGATGTTGGGCCAGGTTCAGGAGGAGGAAAAGGAGAAGGGGACAGGACTAGAGCAGGGTACCAAGGTGGAGCAGTCAGGGTTGGAAACTATCATGGCAGAGCGTCCTGAGAAGCAAACCACCACAGCAGAGCAGATGGAGGGAAGAAATTGATGGCTTGAGGAACCATGGAGGAGGCAATGGCAGGATGAAGAAGATGGAAGCCCAGAGCAGTTAGTACGAAGGCCCATGGTGGAAATGATGGTGAGAGGAACCAGGGGGGAGTTAGTGGCCTGACTGCCAGCGATGGAGCCGAGAGATCTGGAGAAACGTTCACATTCATGCAGTGTTTTTGGCCCAGAGACATCGAATTTCAACGGCTCTGGATTGGCCCAGAGTAGACAACTTGTTTGTGCTCATACCGGTAATCTTCATTCTGCGTTTACACATGGCATCATTCCGGCAATTTACTGGTAATGTTACAACTTCTCATACCGGTAAATTGCCGGAACGAATTTACCGGTATTTTTTGAAAAGGTCCTGTTCACACGTGATCTCTTTATGGCAATTTACCGGTAATTTTCAAGTAAAGTCATATGTGTGAGCTCTGGATTGGCCCAGAGTAGACAACTTGTTTGTGCTCATACCGGTAATCTTCATTCTGCGTTTACACATGGCATCATTCCGGCAATTTACTGGTAATGTCACAACTTCTCATACCGGTAAATTGCCGGAACGAATTTACCGGTATTTTTTGAAAAGGTCCTGTTCACACGTGATCTCTTTATGGCAATTTACCGGTAATTTTCAAGTAAAGTCATATGTGTGCTATTGTCATTGAACAGGTGCTGGGTGAGAACACAGACTTAATGTTGAATTGGACCCATTGGCAAAGAAGAAAACTTTGTGCTGGACGGGATCAGCAATGATGAAGAAAATTCTGTGCAGGGAGGGATCACCAGAGGCGGAAGATGTTTGTGGGTGGGAATCGGAGGGAAGCTGTTCCTCTGCTTTCCAGTCAGCCAATCCTCCTCATCCAGATGCACTAATACTCCCCACTGGAGCAACATTAATAGCTGCAATTTCCATTTCTTTTCTAGGTTCAGTATTTGGTCACCTTTAAAGTCCAGTGAAGATGAAGACAGGCAAAGTTGTTCAAGCTAGTGGTTTATTAAGCAGAATATAAAAAAAGAATATCAAAATAAAGGTCCATACACAGAGATTTGTGACAACTTTAATAATAATAATAATTGTTTTTAATGACTAAACATTGAAACTTTTTTCTTTTTTTTTGATTGCATCATATAATAATTGCTGTTAATAGTGTTCATCGTCTGTTTGGTTACGTCTTTAATTGATTTTTCCGTACATTTCTGCCATATGTACATAAACTGACAGTCACCACTGATAAGCTACCACTAAATATTGTAGAAACTTAATTTTCTGTAAAGTTGCTTTGCAACGATTTGTATCGTAAAAAGCGCTATACAAATAAACTTGAATTTTTTTCTTAGCCTATTTTTAAAAAATATATATATTAAAGTCAGCATGAAACTGAAGTTGTGTCAGTCTTTTTGCAGTAAGGGTTCAATGGCAGCTAAAAGTCAATAAGAATGAATGTGCTGCTGGTGGGAAATGACGCACTTCCCTAGTTAAGCCTGTGATGGGCTGTATGCATCCATAGGTCTCCTGCTGCTAGAATAATATAAAAATGGTTGTGTTCACTTATTACAAGAACCAATTCAAACCTCTTTCAGTGACCACAAAGTGAAGAGAGTAAAGGAAAAATCTCTTTCCACATTAGATTTCATGGGCCATATTCCCTTTGTTTTTAACCCAGCCATAGCACCCTGTAGCCCAAGACTGATCACCCACTGAAGCTAAGCAGGGTTGAGCCTGGTCAGTACCTGGATGGGAGACCTCCTGGGAAAGCTAGGTTGCTGCTGGAAGAGGTGTTAGTGAGGCCAGCAGGGGGTGCTCACCCTGTGGTCTGAGTGGGCCCTAGCGCCCCAGTATAGTGATGAGGACACTATACTGTCAGCAAGCACCGTCCTTTGGATGAGACGATAAACTGAGGTCCTGACTCTCTGTGGTCATTAAAGTGGACCTAACACACACAATTTCACCCATTTTCATATTAATCTTGACTACCTATAGAGCAGTACTGAATCCTTCATATCTCCAAAAAGTTTTTAGTTTTATCATATTTATAAAAGAAAGATACTGCTTTACGATTCTCTCTGAAAACAGCCCAGCTCCTGGAGGCGTGCCATGGGCGGAGATAAAGAGTGACTAGCACTTGAGCACAGATTGCCAAAAAAACAGACATTTGATGCAGTTTCACTTATCATCTGCAGTTCTGAATCATGACCCGGACCTTTTACAGCAGGGACCGCTCCATCTTTTAATATCAAGCGATGTGCAAATCCAGCATCGAACTGGGCCTAGTTTAAAAATTTTTTGTCAACAAACACACTTGAGAAACTCCATTGCAGCCCCGGAAAACAGACTGCATCCGCTGTTTACGTAACGCTGGATTCTTCGGGAAGCTGAACAAGGTTATCTTTCCCTTACAACCAAAAACACACTTCTTCCTGAGCGAGTCCCGTGCAGCGCTGCTGAATGAAGCGCGTTGATGGGCGCGCTCTTGATCTGGTCGATGTGTGTGCGGGCGCACTCTTTCGGGAGAAATGCCCATATAAGGAGTTCCACCCTTCATTACGTCACGAAGAGCCACAATCAAAAAAAATTTCCAAAACTTGTAAGAAACCTGGAAGTGTGTATTTGGCACATAAATACTCTGTTATGCGTCTAAATCATTTTTTGAAACTTTGGCCATGTTTAGCATGAGAATCCAACTCTTTAACAGTGTAAACAACTATGAATGCATGAAACAGCATTGTAGCCTACCGCCCTTTAAAAATCCCAGGATGTCATTCGAAAAGAGTAGAGGTGTGACCTCGGCATCCTGGCCAAATTTGCCCATTGGCCTCCTAACAATCCCCATATCTACGGTTTGGCTTCATCACTCTGTCTCCTCTCCACCAGTAAGCTGGTGGGCGTTCTGGCGCACTATAGCTGCCATCGCATCATTTTTTGATATGATGCATATTTGATAATCACATCATGACCTTGCCGTCAGGGTTGTGCAACAGCCAATCACTGTTTGTGGAATGGATAGCATTTAAATGATTGAGAATGGCAGTAAACAGTACTGCCTGTCACAAAATTGTCAGATTTTTTTTTTTTATATATATATGTATAATACAGCTTCGGTGTGTGTGAACTATAAAAATACATCAATCCAAAATGAATGTTTGATTGCAAAAAAAAAAAAAACGGCCTCCATTATTGTATGCTGCAAATCGGATCATACACTTTTGGCTTTGTGTGTCGTGCATACAGACGATTCACTTCCTGAATAGTAGAATAGTACCTGGATGATGAATCACACAGAATAGTATAACTTAGGGTGACCATACGTGCCATTTTCCCAGGACCTGGCCAGGATTTCTATATTGCCTAAAATATCTAGGTTTTGACGCGTCCTGGGAAAATGGCACGTATGGTTACCCTAGTATAACTATTCTCTTAAAATACTGCTTTTACAGACAGATTTGAATGTTTTGCAACATTACAACTGATGTGATGGGAAAAAAACACAGAAAATGAAAACTGAATTAGTTTTTAATTATTTTAAACTGTCCTGCATGAGTTTCATTTACACTCACTGGCTGGAGGGGAGGAGTCTCTTTTCACGCAGATAAACGTTCTAGATGAAACTGAAACAAAAGTGAAAATAAGAAGATCCGAGACAAGAGCAACATCAACGTAAGGTAAAGCATGCAGTTTCTCAATATTATGATTCATTTGCTCAGATTTTTTTCCCTTTACACTCTTACCAAAAAGTAGTATACTTCAAGTTTATTTTAGTAAGTATACTTAAGTAAAGTTCAAGTATATTTTTAAGTAAGTTTACAAATATCAGTGTACTAGTAGTATACTTGTAAGTGTACTATTTCAATACTCCTTGGGACTAAATTGGCCCACTTTCACATATGTAGAATGACAGTTTCTCAATATTATGATGCAATTTGCTCAGATTTTTTCCCCTTTACATACATATGTAGAATGACATTGGAGGCTCTAGAATGATGTTTGAGAACTACATTCTCCTTAAAGATGAGTTGTAAAGGTTGTGTTGAGGCAGAGTAGCTAGACATGTGAGGTACAACACTTTTTCAAATAAGTAACGCAAGTTAACGCTAATTTATTGACTGTTGAGAGAAATCAGAAGATGTTACTGTAGTTCTAAAATAAATATGAATATGCATTAATTCATCTCACTCACTCAGATTCAGTATTCCTCAAAATGAATACAAATAATGCAACTCAGAATACGCAAACCTGCAATAATTAAATGTTAAACAACACAAATATGCTTTATGTATTTAATCCCATTCTATTAACCCATGTCTTTGCTTCTGACCTTCGATGATCCAGTTCAACCGTACTAATAAGCAAAAATTACTCTAGACAAATATTTGTGTGTCTTTGTTTATTGCTGAAGTGTGTTGAAATTTCTTCTTCTGCAGTCTACTGTACGGACGTAAATTTACTTTCCCTTCAGCCTGAGGCGTATTCATTTCACTTTTGGTGTGAAAAGGCTTTTATATTTGCCAAAAATATAACTTTTTTATTTGAAAAACAAACAAGCAAGCCCTGTCCAGATTTAAAAAGTGACGCAAAAGTAACGTAACACATTACTTTCCATAAAAAGTACCGTAATTAGTTACTTTTTTATGGTGTAACGCAATATTGTAATGCATTACTTTTAAAAGTAACTTTCCCCATCATTGGAAATGATTTGGAACTTTTTCGTTCATTTAGAGTTCTCGATCTGTGCCTTTTTGTCTCCTGGTTCAGATTAGATGATTTATATGAAGCAATATATGGATAGAGGAATCATTGGTTTTAGCCGTGGTTTAAAGCAATGGTTTGAAGTTTAAAAAGTCTTAATTATAGATTAGTTTCTTTCAAAACGTGCTGCTTTTCACTTCACAAGATGTTAATTGGTGGACTGGAGTCATGTGGATTAATGTGATGTTTTTATCAGCTGTCTGAACTCTGATTCTGACGGCACCCATTCACTGCAGTTGATTCACTGGTGAGCAAGTGATGTAATATTAAATTTCTCCTAATTTGTTCGCTCAAGAAACAAATTCATCTACATCTTGGATGGCCTGAGGGAGAGTACATTTACAGCAAACTTTAACTTTTGGGTGAACTATTCCTTTAAGGCCAGAATGGTAACTACAAAGATAACCGCAACCATATTAACGCTATTTTACCGGGATCCAATTTGCAAATTAACAAGGGTTCTTTACCGCGTTCAGAATCGGTGGACACTTGGGGAAGAAACACAATATTGTAATGCATTACTTTTAAAAGTAACTTTCCCCAACACTGGTCATAGGCTTGCATTCAGTAGTAACGTTAGCCTTCGTGACTCTCGAGCAGATTCGTTGGCGCAAAATAAAAATACATTATTTTAAACATTTCAATATTTGAAAAAGTTACAAAAGTTCAAAGTGTGACCCACATGAAAAAAATACTATAGTAATTTATAGTAAATACTATAGTGTTTTTGAACCATACTAAAGTGTGTTATCCTGTATATGTTATATTATTTATAACACTTTTTTAATGAATGCTAGAGCATACTGTAGTATTAACTAGTGAACTGATAAACTGTAATAAATACTGTAGTATACTTTAGTTTTTACTACAGTAAACTGTAGTGTATTGTACTGTAGTATAATATACCCTATAGTTGTAGAAAACTTAGTACAGTATTGGATAAAGTAATTTGTTTATATTACTATAGTTAAATTATCACAGCAACTATAGAATTACTACAACAAATTAATTCAAATACTTTACTACAGTATGATTCAAAAACACTATAGTATTTACTATGAATTACTAGTATTTTTTCCTGTGGGCACGCACTAAGCTTTGGCTGATAAGAAAAAGAAAGACGTGTAAAGATACTCTCCATGTGTTTAAAGATGCCAGAACCAACTGATGCGATGATAACCACGCCATTTTACCAGCAACAGCAGTATGAAGTATCCAAGTTCCTGAAGATCAAGCCGTTGGTTTTGGGGGTGAAACAAACTTGTCACTTTCTGTGTTGGTTTTTGGTCCTGTTACTCTTATTTTCCTGTGTCCTTTGTTTCTATTATCATCTCGTTTAAGTCCTCATTTATCTTTGTATTAAAAGTACTCAGTTTTGTCAGTTGTCTGTCAAGTATTGTCTTTATGTTTGTATGTAAAGCTGTGGTGTTTCTGTCTTCTCCTGTGTTAATCTTTGCTATTTTGGAAAGTAAACCAAGCTGCATTTAGATCCACGTCTCTTCTTCTTGCCTCGCCTGTGTTCAGTGTGTATGAATTAACTGGCACTATATCTTATGTTTTTGTATTGCAGATTTTGGAAATATTGATAGCCTTATTGGGACTCGGTTTGACTATCTGGAATGAGAGTTTTTTCGTTATCTGGTCACCAATCATTGTAAGCCAATCATTTCTGTATCAGTACAACATTATACAGTGAACAAATGCTCATTTCTGTTCCATTTCTATTCGCAGTTCATCATAATTGGAGCTATAACAGTCTCGGCTGCACACACACGTACACCGCGTCTGGTTAGTGTCAACTTTACTGTCTTGAGAAGAAGCAATAGGCCTATGTTTAAGAATACAAACATTTAGGGGAATTTTATTCATTTGTTTGTTTGTATTGTAGGTCAAAACCTCTCAAATGCTCAGCTATGCAAATTTTGCAGTAGTTGTTTTCTCCCTCCGCGCTCACTTTATTTACATTCGGGTAAGTGGTTACACTGCCTACAGTATGTGTGTGTATGTCTAATAGGGCTGGGTATTGACACAAATTTCAATTCAGTTTCAATTCACAAGCTTGCGATTTGATTCCAATTCAATATCGATTCATTTGGATATACACTCACCAGCCACTTTATTAGGTACACCTGTTCAACTGCTCGTTAACTATCTAATCAGCCAATCACATGGCAGAAACTTAGTGAATTAAGACATGTAGACATGGTCAAGACGATCTGATCAGAAGTTGGCATAAACAACATGAAAGCATGGCTATATCCTGCCTTGTATCAATGGTTCAGGCTGGTGGTGTAATGGCGTGAAATATATTTTCCTGGCACACTTTGGGCCCCTTTGTACCAATTGAGGATCATTTAAACATAAGTGCTTTCGCAACCGGAGGAACCTTCCTAGAACTATTGGTGGAAGCTTCAGAGTTCCTGCTGCTGGTGCGAATGCAACCAGGAAAATGGCCCAAGGGAGAAATTGGTTATCTAGGAACCACCCTGCTGGCTAGTTCCTATGTGGTGCGAAAGCCCCTCATCACAGCTTACCTGAGTATTGTTACTGACAATGTCCATCCCTTTATGACCACAGTGAACCCTTTTCGTGATGGCTAATTCTAGCAGGAGAACACACCATGTCACAAAGCTCTGGTTTCGTAAACATGACAATGAGTTCACTTTACTCAAATGACCTCCACAGTCACCAGATCTCAATCTAATAGAGCACCCTTGGGAGAAACGGCATGTCAATATGGACCAAAATCTCTGTGGAATATTTCCAGCACCTTGTTGAACCTATGCCACAAAGAATTAAAGCAGTTCTGAAAGCAAAAGAAGGTCCAACCCAGTACTAGCAAGGTGTACCTAAAAAAGTGGCCAGTGCTTGTATATCATACAGTACATGGGACATTTTCTAAATGTAATTACAATATTATGTTTCTACTCCAATTTGTTTTTCAAAGTACAAACATTTAAATGATGGCTGTAATTAAAAAACAAAACAAAACCTGATTTATTCAAACATACATTAAGTATTAAAGAACAGTGGAATATAGTGCATGTAAAATGCTCCTCTCCACAGTAGCCTATTTTTTCCAACTGAGTAACTAGTTTATGGCCATTGGCTTTTCTGAGGTAATCATTACGTGATATATTGTTTACAAGCGGTTTATTTACTTCGTTCCGCAATTGAAACACTGATTGAGCATAGGGCTGTGACGGTGGCAGATTTTTATCACCGCAGTGGTAATGGACCAACTACTATATATATATTATGACACTGATAGTCTACAACAGTTTAACAGTGTCTAATCTGTCTTTTAAACTCTTTAGATCTGGCAACTGGGTTTTGAGTAATATTTTTATTTTAGTTCATTTAATCACTGTATCTCTATTAATTAGGTTACTCCAGATGTGTCCTTCTATGTCCTTTTCATCTGTGATATTCTGATCTTCATCTTCTCTCTTGCTGTTGCTGTAACCTCCTGTTCCTGTTGCTGCGGACCAAAGGTAAACATTATCAAAAGATTAAAACATTCTTCTAAAATTTATTTTTTAAATCAGATAAAATAGTTTGTATAACAAACATCATGTTGGTTCTCTCTCAGTCAACCCCTGTCATGGTCAGTTATGTGACCACAGATATGCCTGTCAACCACATCATGCAGATGGGCCAGCCGGACCCCTCTGCAGAGGCCCAGCCTATTAGTTCAGTCATGTACGTGCTGCCAGCAGCACACGGCTCAGTCCCACCTGCGACTCTGCCAAATTACGGTCACGTCCCCAATGCATCTCCACCAATGTACAGTCCAGTACCAACTACACCTCCATCCAACTACGACAAAGTCTCTGATGCACTTCCACCAAAGTACTGTCCAGTCCCAACTGCTTCTCCACCAGCATATGAGGTAATTATGAGCATTTCTGAGTAAATGTAGGCCTACTAAATCAGAAAAAATATTTCAAAACGGTTAATACACATAAATAATCTCAACCTTTAAAGGGGTCAAATGATGTTGCTAAAAAGAACATTATTTTGTGTATTTGGTGTAATGAAATGTGTTTATGCAGTTTAAGGTAAAAAAAAAATACATTATTTTCCACATAATGTACATTATTGTTTCTCCTCTATGCCCCGCCTTTCTGAAACGCGTCGATTTTTACAAAGCTCATCGGTCTGAAAAGCCAGCTATCCAGTGCGTTGTGATTGGCCGAATACCTCAAGTGTGTAACGGAAATGTTACGCCCCTCACCATACTGTGATGCCCTGTCCGGCCGGAGCGAAGAGACAAAAACATTAAAACCCATTATAAACGAGGCATTTGTTGCATCCAGTGGGGACATAATTACGGATTATAATGACTTATACTGTCTTTTTACGCGTTGCGTTGCATCGCGCCGCGCCACGTAATTATTAAACCATGTCTGCATTTGTGATCGGAGAAATGACTAACAACAAGCACTACACTACACTGCCCAAAACTCGTGTTTGAATCATCAGTTGCAAATTCTTTAAATATAAATAAACGTACTTACCATCTGTAAGTCAGAACAGCTGACATTGTAGTCTACTCTCCCAGGATCAGGAAACAGTGCTCCATAAAATGTGCTGCACACATCTGAATATTTGGGTTGAACTGTTCTGGAACAGTGTTGTAAATACAACTTAACCACCGATTTCTAGTCGTGTCCTCTTTTGGAAGGCCAAACAAAGTAGTTTCACTTTCACAACGAAACACACAGCATCACACATGGCGGCTAGAGTGAGCGGTGGCCGGTGGGCTTGAGAACGGTGCGGCTGGCGGGCTTGCGGCAACCACATGTGACGACCCCGGGCTGGACTCCGCTTATCTCCGGATATCGTCCTCTTTTGGAAGGCCAAACAAAGTGGCAACATGGCGGTGTCGGCAACAACAAAACTACAGCGAGAATAAAAGTTACGCCTACTTTCTTTGCGTGAACATTTGGGTGGCATTATGCAAATCTTCCCACATCGTGACATCGTGACGTAAGAACGAGCTGTTTTAGGTAGGCGTGGTTGACTCTTAACTTTTATAAAGAATATCTCTTTGGATTTGAGACTTTAGTCTTTGCAACTTTACAGATCTTCTTTATGCACCAAGAGCTTGTAACACTCCAAAGAGAAAGGAAAAATTGAAATCGCATCATATGACCCCTTTAATTATATTTGCTGACCTGCTGTAATTGCTCTGATACACTGTGTTCTGTTATTGCAGCATGAAGATTTTCAGACCAGAAGATGAATAATATCTCAGACAAAAATTGGAATGTTTGACATTTACTAAATTTTTTGTGTAATGGTGAATGGAAAACCAAAAATTATACTTATAAGTTTGTAAATCGAATGGATGAGAAACATGCATCAGAGTCTTACGTTTTCATTATGTTTAATTCGTTATGTTTTCCACCAAATTATTGTTTTGTTTGATTTGATTTTACATAATAAATTAGTAGTTTTCTTAATTTATGTGCATTTTTTTTTTTTTAAATTCAACACAGTAAACAGCACAATGGAAATTCCACATGATTGACTCAGCCCAGCATTTACAGACGGAGACTTAACATTTAAAATCCTATCTAAGTGTTCAGGGTGTAATTAAAAAAAAAAAGTAATGTTGAAATTTGTATCACTCAAACAAGTGGGTTGCACAATCAAGTTATAAATTGACTGTTCATTAACCTCTAGAATTATGCTTTGAAAATAGACTGACAATTTTATATTCAAATTTGTGTTTGACCTGTCCTGTCACAAAATACTATTTCCAGCCCATAACAAAAATGACTTCTAATACAGCATAACCTGTTCAAAAATATTTCAGAAGACCTGAAATCAAAGCACTGCAAATCCACATGAACACTTCAATTCAACACAGTAAACAGCACAATGGAAATTCCACATGATTGACTCAGCCCAGCATTTACAGACGGAGACTTAACATTTAAAATCCTATCTAAGTGTTCAGGGTGTAATTAAAAAAAAAAGTAATGTTGAAATTTGTATCACTCAAACAAGTGGGTTGCACAATCAAGTTATAAATTGACTGTTCATTAACCTCTAGAATTATGCTTTGAAAATAGACTGACAATTTTATATTCAAATTTGTGTTTGACCTGTCCTGTCACAAAATACTATTTCCAGCCCATAACAAAAATGACTTCTAATACAGCATAACCTGTTCAAAAATATTTCAGAAGACCTGAAATCAAAGCACTGCAAATCCACATGAACACTTCATCTCAGCACTGAAGCAAAGAGGAAGATGGGTTTAGATGGCCAAAAAACGACTCTGTGGGTCTGATTAGCAGCTCTATTATTTAGTTAAGATCACAGCTAATAAAATCAATGAAAAATGTTAGCATACTGTAACTAAGTTAGATGCATTAGATGAGTATCTGATTGCAAAGCCATTCACGCTAATTTATTTCAAACAGTATTCTCACAACTGTGTTATAGTGTTTTATGAATGCATTTGTGCAACTGGATATTCAGATCTTCTCTCTCCTTTTAATAAATAATCAACCAAAGCATAACAAATTTAAATAAGCAAGGACTTCTTTATGGTATGTAAGCTTGTTTCCACCACAGAATAAAGAATAAAAAAAGGTAACTGTGAGATACAAATACTTTTTTCTCGCAACTGTGAGTTTATATTTTGCAATTCAGATTTTTTCCCCCTCAAAACTGCGAGTTTATATCAATTGTGAGAAATTTATGTCGCAATTGGGAGTTTATATCTCAATTCGGACTTCATAACTCAGTTCTGACAATATTTGTCTCAGAATTGTGAGATCAAATGCAATTATGAGTTATGAAGTTCATACAGATATAGAATCGTGGGATAAAGAGTTGCATTTAGCTTTTTTACCTTTTTTATTCCATGGCAGAAATGAGCTTCCATATCACTGTGAGGACTAACACAGAAGCAAATGTAATCAATAATTTAAAAGCTAAATGTGCAGACAACAGTGAAAGCGTCAGAGAGCTCTGCGTTAGGTTTCATTTCAGTCAGATGGGCCAATGCGGTTGGACATGACAAAGAATAATATTAATATATAATAAGTATTAATATATAATATATAAGTCTTTTGTGTCAATCCAAAGGTGCTCTCATCTGACATTTTCAAAATGTCTGCATCGCCTTTTGGTCTTTTGGCCATCTTGTGATGTTACATGATTTTTTAAACATAGAATTATTCAGTGTGGTTTCTATTTATATTAATGAAAGAAGTACAGAGCGATAAATAAATGTGTTTATGATTACAATGCAGTGATTTTAAGCATTTACAGAAAACTGGTGCACGTGCATACACAGGTTTCACATTCATTTACTGCCATCTTCAGTTTTTCTAATAACTAATCACCACATTTTCAAATAATGTGAAAGTCATCATTATTTCCAGAAATATGGAAATAAAGTTGTAACTAAAATGTTAAATTAGAAGGAGCTTATATTTGAACTTCTTTATAGATTAAGCATTTGATATTAATCATTTCATCTCCTGAAAAAAATGAAGACTGCTTGAATTCAATTTTCAGCTGCCGAGGTCTGGCTTTGGGAATAAAAAAGCAGCAGGTGCTGAGTTCACTTTCTGATCTGCACAGATGGCAGTAAATACTGCTTTTACAGATTTTGATCTTTTGCAGCATTCTGTAATGTTTCATAATGGCTGTAGATGAAATGGCCTGGTGTCAGATGGTACAGATATTCTGCAGTTGGTGATGTGAGAAAAAAAAACATGCTGAAAAACCATGTTTAATCTGTTAATGGGAGTGTCAGGCGTGCTCTGAGTTTCTCTTACACTGACTGGAGGGGAGGAGTCTTTTAAAAAAAAATTTTTTTTTTACACAGATGGACCTACTAGATGAAAGTGAAAACGAAAACAGATCCAAGAGCAACACCAACATCAGGTAAAGCGATCTCTCGATATAATAATTCATGTTACCGTTACATTCAGCTCCATGGGCTCTAGAATTATATTTGAGAGCTACATTCTCCTTAAAGAAAGCTCGTGTTGGGTTGGTTTGGCTAGAGATGAGTACATCTTCTATTTAATCTTTTCATAGCGTCAAATGACAGTCTGTAGGCGCGTTTCATTACCCTTCAAATTGCGCAAATTGAAAATACGCCTAATGGAAACGCGTCAATTTCGCAAAAACGCCCAAATATCGCAACACATTTTTTACGCTTGCATGAGGTGGTTTTTCAGGCAATGCGAAAAAGTCATATGATAATTCTTCAGTGTACTATAACATCCAAGAAACACTTCATAAGTGGCCGAGCTCCAGTATAAGGGGCTTTCCCTGCCATTAATGCTTAGACTATTTACTCTGCACACGTCTGCGGTGCAGTGTGGCTCTGACACGGTCCCTGAAGCTGATTCAATGCTTGTGTTGATGTTTTTATACAGTCTATGGTTCATTCCAGCCGCGCCACGCATGTTTCTGAAGCGGCTCTCTGTGCTGCTTCTGTAAAGATACATAAGCCTCCTTTGAATAAATATAGCCAAAATCTGTCAAAATCCCACCAAAACCCTTTGCCATGACTTATCGCGAGAGGCACAAGGCTTGTTTGCGATAATTGTGACCCTGCCCGTGGAAACCCAGCTACAGTATTTTTTTTAAACGGTGGATGAGTAATTCGCTCCTTGATTTGCTTAATAAAAGCCTCCTTTGAGATCATTCTGACAGACATGTTTATTGTGTATTATTTTCAACATGTTTATTGCTAAGTTTAGTGTGGCAAAATAGAAGCGCAGCCGTAATTCGTGTGCAGTGCCATGACAACCTCACGCGCTTCTTGCTGCTGCTCTATGTACCGGTAATCAGAGTCCGGCACGGTTTGCCCCCCCTCGAACTCGAAGACATCTCTAATTTGACAGTTTACGGGACGGGACGAAACCATGCAGTGAATGGGGGGAGAACATTTTTCCCGGAAATGCAGAAATAAGCTGTAATTTAGTTTTGTTTGTAACTCTTTGGTAGATACATTTAGAATTTATATTACATTACTACTACTACTACTACTGTTACTACTAATAAAACAGATCTCTGGGGGCCCCAAAAGTGCGTGGGCCCTTAGAATCGTCCTAACTTTCCCCCCCTTAGCGGCGCCCCTGGTTACACGTGTGAATAAATAAACATTATGTTATATCAATCTATACACTTTATAAACTATGTAACCTATTTTGCCCCTTTTCCCCAGACCATATTAGTATAATCTGGTAATGTTGATTGGATGGACCAGCACCGGCCTGGTTTGCCCCTGGTTTGACTATGGGCACATATGGCACATTTTCTAATATGAAACCAATTTAAATGTGATTTAATAATTAACCCCGGCTGGGACATATAGAGTGTCCAAAGATGAAGAAACACCCAGTTACATATTCAACTCAATTTAATCAACTCGTTGTATAAAAGCAATATCACATATTCAGTTAACAGCAATCATGGTGCTCTATATATATATATATATAGCCAGCCAGGCTGAAATTCAGACCAGCATTCTTTGGTCATGTGACGCTGGGTAAGCATACAGGTTATGATTGTGATTGACAGGATAATGTTGCAGCCCTCAACATTCTTCAACTCCATAGGAATGCTTTCTCTTTGTTGTTAAGCAACGCTTCAGGTAAATCTTGACTCCCAGCTATGCGAATGAAAGAATGATCAGTGAAACCTGGTTGCTCGACACTCAATACGCTTCGGCTGACAAGAAAGAGAAGACATGCAAAGACAAGATACTCTCTTTATTTTCAAAGATGCCAAAACCCACTGATGTGATGCTAACCGTGCCAGTATACCAGCAACAGCAGTATGGCGTCTCCAGGTTCCTGAAGATCAAGCCACTGGCTTTGGGGGTAAAAACACACTGTTCCACATCAAGAGAAGTATTCAGTGTGTATGAAGAAACAGGCATTTTATCGTATGTTTTTCGTCTCACAGATTTTGGAACTATTGCTAGCCTTATTGGGACTCTGTTTGACAATCTGGAATGTTCATTTTTCTCTTCTCTGGTCACCAATCAGCGTAAGTCGATCATTTTAATATCAAAACAATATTATACAATGAACAAATACTGAATTCTGTTCCATTTCTGTTCTGCAGTTCATTTTAACTGGAGTATTAACAGTCTCGGCAGCAAGCACGTGTAAACCATGTCTGGTTAGTGTCAGTTTAAAAAAAAAAACGGTAATATTTTTGCTTAAGGGGAACTTTATGGGTTTTATTTTAAAACAGATCTTTTGTACTATAGGTCAAATCCTCACAAATGCTCAGTTATGTCAATGCGGCAGCAGCTGCTCTGTCTCTCCACTTTCATTTTTATTACACTTGGGTAAGTGGTTGCTTTGAAACTCACACACGTACAAAATATATTAAAACAATTTCTTGTTTTACCAGACTTGGATGAAAGTACTTCTATATTGTGACGCAGATAGTACAATGTGACATAGCCCATCCTCTATACTGTTTAGATCTGGCAACCGGTTTTTGATTCATATTTTAGTTCATAATCACTGTGTGCCTATTATTTTATCAGGGTGTGACCTGCTTTCTCCTGATGGCCTGTGATACTCTCATCCTCATCTTCTCTGTCACTGTTGCTTTAACCTCCTGTTCCTGTTGCTGCAGACCAAAGGTAAGCATCACCAAGAGCTAAGAATGTTCTCATCTTGAAAAAATGAATCACAAAGATGTGTAACAAATGTTGGTTCTCTCTCAGTCAAGACATGTCGAGATCAGTTATATGAACGCAGATTTGCCCGTCAACCATATTGTGCTCATGGGCCAGCCGGACCCCTCTGCAGTGCTACAGTCCGTTAGTTCAGTCATGTATGTGCTGCCAGCAGTCCCACCTGCGCCTCTGCCAAATTACAGTCCAGTACCAACTACACCTCCACCAGCCTACGACCAGGTCTCAGCTGCACCTCCACCAAACTACGGTCCAGTCCCGAGTGCTCCTCCACCAGCATATGCGGTAATTATGAGAATTTCTGAGTAACGGTAGGAAATCTATTTGTAACTTTTAATGGTTCTTACAAATTAAAATCCTATAAATAATCTCCATCTTCAATCATAATATACAATTATCGTTGTACTGCACAGCTCTGATACACTGTGTTTTGTTATTGCAGTATGAAGATTTACAGACCAGAAGATGAACCGGATCTCAGTTGGTGTTTACACGTTGGATTATGGCAAATGGAAAACAAAATTTGTTTTTATAAATGTGTAAATAATTTATAAATAATATTACAATAAAGCAAATAAATTATTTTTGAAAACCAAATCTGTGAATGCATGTTGTAAAGGAATGTTGTCTCATAAAATTGGTTAAAAAACAGTGAAGTCAAAAGTCATGCAAAATATTTTACTGTTTAAGACTACTTAACTAAATTGCTTAAGATGTAACAAACGTGGATGAGAAACATGCATGAGGGTTTTCTTTTTATCATGTCTTTTTTCTCAAAATGTTTAATGGTAATTTTAACACACGTACATATTAACAATGTAATTTTTTTCCCCTAAGTCAACAAACCCTCAGTAGACATCATCGAAATTTCACTGGATAGATTCAGCTCAGTATTTACAGACTAACATTTAAAATCCTAATGTGCACTTTCAGAGAAAACATTAATGTTTGTCTCACCCAAACAAATGGTTTGCACAAGTTATAAATTGATTATTTATACTAAAATTATAATCTCTTGAAAACAGACTAACAGGTTTCACTTTTTATATTCAAGTTTGTGATGTTTCCAGCTCATGACAACAGAAATCATTTCGAATACGGCATGGCTTGTTTAAAAATATTTCAGAAGACCCATTACAGTTAAACAGTGTAATGCTCAGAGAAAACAAAGCACTGCACATCCACATTAACACTTCATCTCAGCGCTGAAGCAAATATGTTTAGATGGTAAAAATAATTCAAAAAAACTTTGTTGGCCTGATCAGCAGCTTTATTATTCAGTTAAGCTAATAAACTTAAATGCAGCTAATAATATCAGCAAAAATGTTGACATAACTTATAAATTAGGTGATTATCTGATTGCAAAAAAAAAGTATCCAGACTTTGTCTTTACACATTATAGTTGTCTTACAATTACAGTTGTTAATATTTTGAATTTATGTCTTCGTTTTAATTGTAATTTACGTTAAGTTTAGTTTTTTGTTTCTGTCATTTTTAGGTAATTTAGTTAGTCACTTCAGTATTTCAAGTTAAACTAAATGAAAAAGTTTATATATATCGAGAAAACAAAGCACTGCACATCCACATTAACACTTCATCTCAGCGCTGAAGCAAATGGGTTTAGATGGTAAAAATAATTCAAAAAAACTTTGTTGGCCTGATCAGCAGCTCTATTATTCAGTTAAGCTAATAAACTTAAATGCAGCTAATAATATCAGCAAAAATGTTGACATAACTTATAAATTAGGTGATTATCTGATTGCAAAAAAAAAGTATCCAGACTTTGTCTTTACACATTATAGTTGTCTTACAATTACAGTTGTTAATATTTTGAATTTATGTCTTCGTTTTAATTGTAATTTACGTTAAGTTTAGTTTTTTGTTTCTGTCATTTTTAGGTAATTTAGTTAGTCACTTCAGTATTTCAAGTTAAACTAAATGAAAAAGTTTATATATATATCATTTTATTTTATTTCAGGTAAGGCTCATTTCGAATAATTCAAATGTTTTATGGTTTTAGTTTTTAGATAACTATAAGCCTGCTCACAGCTGTATGTTACAGTGATTTGTGAATGCATTTGTGATATTCAGATCTCTCTCTTTATAATAAATAACCACAGACTAACAAATGTAAGTAAACGAAAAGGCCACAAGGATGAATTTCTCTTTGTGAAGACGAACACAAAAACAGTGTGAATCAAAGAAGCTTAAAAGCTAAACGTGAAAACATTTGTGAAAGGGTTAGAGAATGACATTTTGGGTGATATTTTGCAAAACAGTGTTTTAACAGTCATCTTTATATCATATTTGACAGTTTCGAAGGCTTTGGTGTTATAAAAAAATAGAACTACGAGTCTATTCGTCCTTGACCTGCCCATCAGAGGCTTTTTTCTGTGTCTCTCGGCACTCTCCCCATGTTGTAAAACTCTGCGTTAGGTCTCAAGTCAGTCAGACGGGCCATGCGGTTGGACAGAGCAAAGAAGGCAGCAATGTCCCAAATATCCTCTCGGTCAAAACCATGAGCCTCCAGGGTGCTGAGATGTTCTTCAGTTACAGTTTCACTCCAGCAGACTGCCAGAGCAAAGTCCAGCATGGCCTTCTCACGTGCGCTCAGCTCCGCAACCCTGTAATTAACAAAACAGTACCAGTAAATCCACTTCATATTATTTATAATATTCTTGGAATATTGAGTCCTGAGAGGGTGTTGAACAGTTTTACATTATGTTTTGTGAAATTTTTACTAGGTACCTGATCAGCCAGCACGGGTTTTTTGGAATAGATGCGGTGCAATGCACTGTGGGATACCACGCAATACAAGCAGTGATTGTGAGCACTGGTCGCAACAACAATCAGTTCCCGGTCCGCTTTTGACAGACCACCTGTTACAAAAGTAAAATAAACCTCGTATCACATCCTGATTCCTTAAAGCATCAAAATATCTACATTTAACATTACATTTAAATTAAAAGCAAAATAAATAAAATATAATTAGAATGAATGAAATAAGGTGTAGACCCTAGGTCTCCTATCTAGTCACCATGTCTTATTTGACCATTTGACCAAAACTGTGATTTTTAAAAATATAAATATTCAGTGACCCTGGACCACAAAACCAGTCATAAGGAAACATTTTTGAAATTGAGGTTTATACATCATCTGAAAGCTGAATAAATAAGCCTTCCATTGATGTACGGTTTGTTAGGACAATATTTGGCCGAGATACAACTATTTGAACATCTGAAATTTGAGGGTGCAAAAAAAAAAATCGCCTTTAAAAGTTGTCCAAATGAAGTTCTTAGTAACCTAACCCTAACAAAAATTAAGTTTTGATATATTTACGATAGGAAATTTGCAAAATATCTTCATGGAACATGATCTTTACTTAATATCCTAATGATTTTTGGCATATAAGAAAAATCGGTCATTTTGACTCATACAATGCATTTTTGGCTATTGCTACAAATATACCCCAGCGACTTAAGACTGCTTTTGTGCTCCAGGGTCACAATTATATTGATAAAATAACCAAAATCATGTTTAAAATTGTTTTTGATGAATAAACTACAGGACAGGACATGACAGCTTCCCAGAATATCACGCTAAACTAGAAGTACTAGAATTAGTACAAATCTGTTCCATATATTGCTCCAGTTGAAAACTAAGAAACACACACACACACACACACACACACACATATATAAATATATATATAAAAATGTGTATGCCGTTTAGATGTGGATTAAATTTAACTCAAAAATCTACTAGCGACCATTAAAGGGATAGTTCACCCAAAAATGAAAATGTGATGTTTATCTGCTTACCCCCAGGGCATCCAAGATGTAGGTGACTTTGTTTCTTCAGTAGAACACAAATTATGATTTTAAACTCCCAACTGGTGCAGTCTATCAGTCGTATAATGCATGGCAATGGTAACAAAATCTATGAGAGTAAAAAAACATGCACAGACAAATCCAAATGAAACCCTGCGGCTCGTGACGACACATTGATGTCCTAAGACACGAAGCGATCGGTTTGTGCGAGAAACCGAACAGCATTTATATCATTTTTTACCTCTAATACACCACTATGTTCAACTTCCTTGAGCACGCGCACGGCATCCGGTGCGCGAGGTGTGTAGGCGCTCTGGCGTAGTTTACGTTAACGGCTGTGTTGAAATCCAGCCGAAGAGCAATCAACCATAACTTCAGGCGAGCAGGCTCAGAAGTTGGGAATATGTGGAAAGTCACCACTCCCGAATGAATTTGCGCGAGAGAACGTCATCTTTTAGTTTTAAGTCGGTTTGAACAATCCGGAAAAGTGCAAGGAAGTACCATTTTGATTAGCCGTCGTACCTACAATGAGTGACGTATACGCGTGAGAGATCACTTCCGGCGCTTGCGTAAACTACGCCAGAGCGCGTAGCCGTGAAGCCGTGCGCGCGCTCATATCTGTTGGACGTAGTGGTGTATTAGAGGTAAAAAATTATATAAATACTGTTCGGTTTCTGGCACAAACCGATCGTTTCGTGTCTTAGGACATTAATGTGTCGTCACGAGCCGCAGGGTTTAATTTGGATTTGTCTGTGCATGTTTTTTGTACTCTCATAGATTTTGTTACCATTGCCATGCATTATACGACTGACAGACTGCAACGGCTGGAGTTAAAAATCATCATATGTGTTCTACTGAAGAAACAAAGTCACCTACATCTCGGATGCCCCGGGGGTAAGCAGATAAACATCACATTTTCAATTTTGGGTGAACTACCCCTTTAAGTATGAATAAAAGGTCATACCACTTTCCTAGTTCACGAGGGCATTATAATTAGAGAAGAAAGTCCGAAATTCAGCAGGACAATGGACGAGAACCTTGAAGACATTGGGCAAAAACCCTCCCTGTAGATGAACATGCACATCTTCTATTAGTAGTGACACGAGACACATTTCTTCATATTTTTGGAGTAAATTAAGAGAGACTTTTTATTTTGGGGTGAACTTCAATGTAAATGTGATGCCAAACCTTCTGTTCAACCTTCTCCATCAGCTCCACGATATCAAATGGCAGGTTCTTCTTGTCTGGCACTGGATACCGCCTGATGAGCTGCTGCTGCTGCTGTTTTCACACCAACTCTGCTGCTTGCTGGGGAAAGCGAGTACTGCAAAGGACAGGGCTTGTTACATACTGTTACATGCATTATATAATTTCATACTAATAAACAACTTGAAGTCACTTTCCAAGTTCAACTATTCAGAGCGATATATGTGTTTATGATTACAATGCAGTGATTTTAAGCATTTACAGAAAGATATACAGGTGCAGGCATGTTTTCTTGCATGACATTAGATGTACTGCTGCTTTGAAGCAATATATGAATAACTCACAACTCAGAGTACTGGGTTAATTAAAAAAACATTACCAATAACCCAAAATTTGAGCGGAGACTAAGTTTCAAAACGCCTCGAAACTTTATCGTGTAAAGTCGCTGTATTCCGAATGTTTATATTGTCAGCAGCGGCTGGTTCAGAGTCATATGCTCTAAAGGGCAGCCAATCGGAGAGTCGTATTCTGACACGCCTCATGAACATTCGACCAATGAAACCATCCTATGGAGTCGCATTTGACTTCCTGTTTACAGCGCTGAAGGAAATGAAGCAAAAGCATACTAAGAGAACCCACGGAAGTTTAAATAAAAATAAATAAATAAATACAACCATTTGTAAAAACACAAAAAGATGTCGAATTATTTTTTTATATTAAACTGTAGAAAACATAAAAAAATCTTTCTCAATAAAATATCGCAATTTTGATGAATATTTAGAAAAATATTTGCTAAAAAAAAAAATGTAAAAAAAGTAAACACAAATTAAGAATATAATTATATGAATCAAGCTTTGAAATAAATATATATTTGAACATTCATAAATATTAACGTTGATATGGGATGCTGGAGAATTCATTTGCTTAATCGCTAGAGCCGATCCCAATAATAATAATAATAATAATTGTTATTACTATTCAGATATATCATCATTTAATACTATCCCTAGTGATAAAAGGCGAAGTCCTCATCCGGGTGCGCAGGGACTTTTATTTTGAAGGTCTCTACATCTTTACACGCACTCATCCGGAACTGAATGCTATTTTTTTGGGTCGCTGTTTTCTGATAAAATCTTATCCATTTGGTATCAGTTTCTTCGGTATATTTTCGCATATTAATAAACGCACAATCATCTGATTATGGGTGGATACGGGGCGATGTCAGACGAAGAGTCTCTGGATTATTCAGTGCATGAAGCCTGGAACGAGGCCACTAATGTTTACCTGCTGGTTATTTTGGTCAGCTTCGCCCTGCTTATGTACGCCAGGAAGTAAGCGTCCGTTTAACTTCATATTCATTATAAATCTCTTGCAATGGCAACCATGCATGTCTTTTGTTTTCATGCAGAAACAAGAGGAAGATTATGCGTATATTTACTCTGCCTGCAGCAGTGGCCAGCTCTTCAGAGCCCACCTTCTACGACAGTCTGCAGAAAGTCCGGCTGAGACAACAGCTGGAAATGTATTCACTCGGTGGGTTGAGCTCATTTTCTGTTTAAAAGATATGTATCTTTTTGTCCTTTCGAAAATTTACCGTGGAACATTTATCATAGTTCCTATCAAAATACCACACAGTTTGTTCTCTAATTGTTGATCAAATACACAACTGTAAATTATACACCTAATAATAATAATAATAATAAAACCTCAGATATATTGTGTGAAGGATATATCATATTAAATTGTTATTTTAGCCCTTCTCTTGTATATGCATTAGTTTCTATTATTTAATAATGAATATCATTTTAATATCGTTTTTAATACATCAAATATAAAATAATAAAATAGTTGCCTTTGATCAGAAATATATATTTTTTATATTTGAATATATGTAATTTATTCCTGACGTTTCAGCATCGTTACTCCAGTCTTCAGAAATCATTCTAATATGCCGATTTGCTGCTCAAGAAACATTACCGTGTTGAAAACATGTGCTGCTTCATATTTTTTATTGAATCCATGGTACAGAAGTTTGGAGCAAGTACAATAAAAAGAAAGAAAGAAACTTTTATTCAGCAAGGGACACATTCAACTGATCAAACGTGACAGTAAAGACATTAATAATGTTTCAAAAAACAAACAAATAAATAAAAAGTGCTGTTCTTCTGAACTTTATTCATGAAGATATGCGAAGAATCCTGAAAAAGATGTAAGTCACAGTTTCCACCAAAATATTATGCTGCAAAAAACTGTAGTTAACATTTATGTAACAAGAACCACGTAATAAGAGCCATAATTAATAACCGAGTGGCAAATCAGCACATTATACTGATTTCTGAAGGATCATGTGACACTGAAGACTAGTAGTGATGCTGGAAATGCAGCTTTGCATCAGAGGAATAAATTGCATATTAAAATATATTACAATAGAAAACAGTTATTTTGTATGCAGCTTTGGCGAGCACATGAGACTTCTTTCAAAAACATATTCAAATTCCAGTTATGCCGAACTCCTTTTACACTTGTTTACCATGTGTCCATTTCTCAACAGGTGAGGTTTGGTCAAAATGGTGAACATTATTTGGAAAGTCAAGTCACCTTTATTTATATAGCGCTTTTAACAATACAGATTGTGTCAAAGCAACTGAACAGCATTAATTAGGAAAATAGTGTGTCAATAATGCAAAATGACAACTATTTTTAGATAAAGTTGATCTGTGCAAAACATTATTGAACAAAAACTATCTAGACCTTGGAATAGGGCTGCACGATTAATCGAATGCGATTGTCATGCGCATTTTATTAGTAAAGCCGGTTCTGTAATCCGCAGGAAATCATAATCACGTGCTTTCAGATGGAGCAGCATTTACTACGTATATTGCCGTAGTCGTGTGTTTATTAGTCACGTTGAATCAAGTTGAATCTTCTGTTTATTCAGCTGCAGCGATTCTTCGGGGGCATATTTGGAGTTTCAGCACGAGAGCGCCCTCTGGCCTTTGGATGGAGATTTACTGCTGATCACAGAACCGTGCTTCACTGAAAGATACGCATGACAATCGCAGCTTCTGTCGAATCGCGATTTCAATTCCATTTCCATTTATCGTGCAGCCCTAGCTTGGAACTTGAAGAGAATATCATGGCACGATGATTTTTTTAAAAATAGTAGTTTTGTAAGATTGTATTCAAGACCTTTTCAAATCCTTGTTTTGTGTTTTTTCCAGCTCGTAAATACGATCAGCAGCAGCACCAGCAGTCTCAGTCAGATAGTGTGCAGCTGTCAATGGAGTGATCTGACCAGAGGAGGCGCTCTTCACCCACTAATGCTGCAGATGTGAATTAAAACCGACTTCGAGCTCACAGAGACTTATGATCCAGAGAACTGGATTGCTGGAGAACAAACGTACTGGGAGTAAACTGTTGAATGTTGTTTTGATTTGATGAGCCTTTCTTTTTATTCTCATCCTTCATACCTCTCGATCATTCAAAAGGGGTGTTTTATGACCTTGTGATAGGTTTTTCCTTTTAGGGCATCGATGGACTATGAAACAGACTGCTCTCTGGTGCTGGAAGTGAAATTTGATGTATAATATCTCAATGTTTCATATGATTGGCAAACACATTACTTGTGCACATCATCTGTGTGTCATAAGGTCTGCATCCAAACCTTTTACCTCTCCTCAAAAACATTGTTACAAAATGCTATTTAAGGTTTTCAAAGTAAAGATGTTGAAAATACTGTACACTGCTTCTAGGTGCCTTTTCTCTGATGTCTCACATTGCCCTCTAGTTCTAGATTACATGCATGTCAGTTGTTTTAGGCTGACCTACATACAGGCTGTAAAATATGAAACTGCTTATTAAAAACATATTAATGAGTCTTAATTTTGAAAGTGACTGCATTCAATACATGGCAAGACAAGCATCACTATTACTATTTCTCATATTCCGGGTTTGTGGATGCCAGTATCCATAGCAAACTGTGGTGGCAAGAAAGCACCGTATATTATATACATTATTAACTGTAGTGAATGTTTTAGTAATAAGTTCCAGCAGCTTTAAATACCTCTAGTGTGAAGGTGGATTGTATGTCCTGTCGTGTAACACTTCTTCAAGATTGAATTTTGTGCATCAAAATTTCCACACACCGCACTGCACTGGATGTAGTGATGGCATGCAATAACATGGGGCAAAAATCCCAAAGATTTACATTTAAGGAAGGATCTGAATCATATTTATAAATCAGAATATCATGGAGCATGGAGGTGGGGAACCTCATATAATTTGGGATATTAAGTAACCACCTAGCAACCACCCAGAACACATTAGCAAACATATAAAACGCCATGGCAAACACCCTTGCATCATGCTGGCAACTCTTGTATGAGCAAGCACCACTCACTTTCTTCAAGTATTAAAATGTAGTTTTTCAAAAACATTGGGTGAACAAAGTGCAATAAATGAGTCCAAGTGATCCAGAAGTGAGAAATGAAAAACATGGAGTGAGAGAGAATCACAATCTTGGCCGGTCTCGCTTTTGTTTTAGCTGCTTTGTTCTAATCGTTTATTTTTTTTTCTTTCATGCCACTCTTCCATCATTCTCTAGCTTCTGATCCGCTGTTGTATCATTTCCCCAGATGAATCAGAAAAGCTAAAGAAATGATGCCTCGCCTCGCCTTAGTCATCTGCCTCCCCCTCCCTCTGCTTCCTCTTGTGCTTTCCCTCAGGTCTCTATGGAAATAAGATGAACAAACTCTTTTCTTTATCGTTTTTCAACCTCCAATAATTCTAATTTTATTCTACAGTATATCTGCCTTTGCCTTTTATCTTAAACCCTGAGAGTCTCATTGCCAAGCGTACGCTGTTCGAACAGAATTTTTGAAGAATCTTCACGCAGCTTTTTTCCATATCTGCCAAGCATCATAACAGCAGTCCATATGACTCATGTGCTATATTCCAAATCCTCTGAAGTCAATAGCTTGTCTGAGAAAAAGAACGAAAATCTGATATGTAAAAACAAATATGGAATAAGGCGACAGGTTTGACGCCACTGATGTTTGGTCAAAAAACACAAGAACCAGTGGTGTTTATTGGTGCCACTGACGTCAAAAAGCACCTTATTTGATCTGACCAGTAGCTCATGCGTCATGAGGACTGTTTTATGAAGCTTTTTTATTCTTTTTGTCTCTTGACAGACATATAAACATATAAAAGAGCTGTGGGAAGATTCTTCAAATTCCTCTTTTTGTGTTCCATATGGGTTTGGAACGACATGAGGGTGAGTAAATAACGGCAGAATTGTCATTTTTAGGTGAACTGTTGCTTTAACACTTAAATAACACATTATCCCTCCTTCTGTCTCTCTCTTTCCTTTTTTTCGGTGTCACCCCATCTATTGTTTAACAAACACACAGACAACTGAATTCCAGGTATTTACGCATGACATGCATCAACACAAATCTCAACCGTTCGTTCTGCATCCATTTGCAAGCTCAAACCAGAAAAAAAAATCAATAAACCAGAGGAAAAATAAACCAGAAGGGCTGAGGA